AAGAACAAAACGACAGCAACTTGTCTATTCCCCTTGCCCAATTCCCCAGCGCTGTTCCCATCCCCCCAATTCCCCCAATAAAAATCTTAAAAGAAAAGTTTCAAAGTTCAAGACTTCCTTTCACAAAAGTCCCAGAGCTTGTACACTCACCAATTTGTGACTTGGGCAAACTCAGCAATCAGATCTTCACTCCTGAGCTGTAAGATCAAAGTGGATAGGGGACATACTGCACCAGGACAAAGGGAGCTTATCCCCTCAGTGTTCCCAAATGGAGCTGGACCACTCCCACCCTCTAGTCTTCCCACTGCACCCTGCCCTTAAGGGGTAGCAAATGGAGAGAGGGGCAGTTGTGGAGAAGGCCAGGGGAAGAAGCCAAACTTACAGACAGATGGGGGAACAGGGACCCATGGAGGGAGGACGCCCATCGACAGAGTGCCAGAGCCCAGCTGGACGCCGTCTTCACCCATTCAAACACTGTAGGGTTGAGGAAGTAGCTCTGATTAAACCATTCACAGGGCTCCCACTGGGCACCCTCTTAGGAGAAGGAGGAGCAAGGACGAGTACTCCCCAAGTCCTTCCACCCAATAAGTGCTCTGGACACCCACTCTGGGGTATGTGGGGTAGGTAAAGGGGAGAAGTGAAAATGATACCAAAGTAGACAACTGGGCCAGGGGAAATAGGGTTAAGGGAAAGGGGCTGGGCCAACAGGTAATTGGGATGAGTTAGGGAGATTATGGAGGGGGAGTGCCAACTGCAAAAGTAGAAAAGACTGGAGGAGAAAATACTTACCCTCCTCCTCTGAGTTTGCAATTTCATTCAGCACCCCAAATAGGCCCATATCACGCCTAATGAGAGGAAGCTGTGAGTCAAATTACTCTGATCCCTTCAGTCTCCCCTCTATAAGTTTCATTCAGTCAGTCAATAAACATGTATTAAAAATAAGAGCACTAATAAATAATAAATAAATAAAATAAGAGCACTCACATTTAATGAGTGGCAACTATGTGCCATGCACTTTATATATTGTTTTTTCATTTAATTATCACACTAAAATGGGCATTCTGCCCATTTTAACAATGAGGCAACTAAGGCTCAGAGGTCCTTCAGGGCTTTGTGAGCAGGCCAAGGAGTCAAGACTTGCCCTAAGACAGTGAATGGAAAGCCATGGAAGGTTTCTTTTTTTGGTTTTTTTTAAAGATTTTTATTGGGGAATTGGGGGATGGGAACAGTGCTGGGGAATTGGGGGAAGGGGAACAGACAAGTTGCTGTTGTTTTGTTCTTCAGTTTAGTTGTGGGGGACGTTGCTTCACTGGCCCAAGTTGGCACCATCATTGCGCTCTTCCCGGGTGAGGCAGATCAGTCGCCGGCTTCTGGACGGCCGCTCACTGCGGCTGCTGGCCGCTCACGCTGGCTGCTGGCTACATACGGTAGCCCATGGCAACCCACTACCACAGGGGCTGCAGCCTATGCCGTCGCCGGTGACTCACAGCAGCCCAGCTCCAGGTTGAGCTGTTGTTCAGCATCTTAGCTGTGGAGGGCAGTGTCACTGGCCCTCATATGTGGGATCCGAACCGGGGCCCTCTGGCATCCCAAGCCAGTTCTTAACCATCACGCCACTTGGCCGGCCCACCATGGAAGGGTTTTAAGCAAAGGAATAAACTTATCATATTGGCATTTTAGAAAGATCAGTCTGGCTACAGATTTGAGGGGTACAAGAATGGAGAGGAGATGGGTTAAGAGGCGACTTCAGTTACCTAGAAATAAGGTCAAAGCAGCTTGAACCATGGGGCGTGGATAAAAGTAGATAGATTTGAGGGCCGACCGAGTGGCTCGATGGTTAAGGGCTGGCTTGGGACGCCAGAGGGCCCCGGTTCGGATCCCACATGTGAGGGCCAGTGACACTGCCCTCTACAGCTAAGATGCTGAACAACAGCTCAACCTGGAGCTGGGATGCCGTGAGTCGCCCGCATCGGCGTAGGCTGCAGCCCCTGTGGCAGTGGGTTGCCATGGGCTACCGTATGTAGCCAGCAGCCGCCGTGAGCGGCCGTCCAGAAGCCGGCGACTGATCTGCCTCGCCCGGGAAGAGCACAATGATGGTGCCAACTTGGGCCAGTGAAGCAACGTCCTCCACAACTAGATTGAAGAACAAAACGACAGCAACTTGTCTGTTCACCTTCCCCCAATTCCCCAATAAAAATCTTAAAAAAAAAAAAAAAAGTAGATAGATTTGAAAGCTTGAAGAAGTAGCACAGACAGGATCTGAGGACCAATTAGACGTCAGTAAGGGAAAGAGTAATATCAAGGGAGACACGTAGGTACTAATTATAGCAGATAATACTGCTTCCAATGTGCCAGGGCTAGGCTAGATGCTTCAGGCTCATCATCTAAGTTAGCCATTATCACAACCCTACAAAATAGGTATTGTTATGTGCATTTTAGAGAGAACAGAAATCATGAAAAGGTTAATTACCAAGGTGAGCTAGGAAGTAGCAAAGCCAGGATTCAACCTGTCTGCCTGCCCCAGAGCCTACACTCAAACCATTTGCTCCTGAATAAATAGCAAGGCCATCCTTGAGATGAAAAACAGAACAAAGAAACTGGTTTGGAGGGGAAAATGAAGAGATCAGATTTGAATATGCTAAGTGTGTGAAACCTGTGGAATATCCAACTGGGGGTGTTTGGCAGACAAGTGAACACCCAGGCATGGAGCATCAATCACAAGTCCAGCCCAGGACACCAACATTTAAAGGACATCAGGTAGAAAAGAAGCAGCAACAGCCAGAAAGGAAGTGAGAAAGAACCCAGGATTGAATAGCTTTCAGACAATGAATTGATGTTTAACTTCATTCACACACAGACAAGCAAATTAAACCATACTGCAATACCAAATACTGAAGTTTCATAGCACATGTGTTGGGAAACAGGCACTCTCATTCTCATACATTGCTGGTAGTACTGGGAGCTATTTGGCAACAGCTCAAGAAATTACACATGAACATACTCTTTGAACCCAGCTACTTCATTTGTAGGCATTCACCCTACACATGATAATAACAGCTAACCCCTGACGGGATTAAGATGGGCCAGGCACTGTTCGCTAACTGCTTTGCGTATATACTAACTCATTTAATCACCACTACAACCTTGTTCCATTTTATAGATGAAAAAAACTGAGGGACAGTGATTAAGGAACTTGCCCAAGGTCACACAACTAAAAAACAGCACAGCCAGGAATTGAATCCAGGCAGCATGGCTCCACTCCTATATATGCAAAATGAATGAATGACATATGTACGAGATTATTCACTTCAATTTTATACCCAATCCTGCCGAGCTTCAAGTAAAGGCTCAAAAAGTGCTAATAACATGAGGCAGGGGCTCACATAATCAAACCAGAAAGCAAGGCAAGTCACTGGAAATTAAATGGAAATACTGTTGCATAGCCTTGCATTCCACAATAAGAACTGATCATTTGATACATTGAATGACATACAGCTGAGCTAGAGAGAGCCTGGCAGCCCGAGGCAGAGGGGTAATGACCTCATTTGCTCCAGGATCTGCAGACCATGGCCCAGGAGACCTTTTGTGTGTCTCACCAAATATTGATGCATCTCTTCCACACTTGTTCCCGATGATGGATGAATGCAGTTCTTGTGCCGTGGTCCAGCCTCCCAGGGGTTTTCAGGGGATCCTTCGTCAGGTTTAAGATAGGAAGATTGATCCACTATAGCCCAGAAGTGAGAGGTGTGACAGTGAGTCAGTCTCTTCCCCAGATCTCTGCGGAACTCCCTGCCATCTCCAACCCATGGCTAGGCTAAGGCTAAGAGGCTCCAGAGGCCTGTTTCCCATTTTAACAAATATAACACTTCTGAGACTGGGAAACAGGTCTTAGCTCCCTTATCTATAAAACTACAGTAATATTTCATTGGATTGCTGTAATTATTTAATCTTACAACATTGATGAACACGACTCAGGGCCTCCTTACACAGCAAACTTTCAATAAACGTCCGTTTCCTTCCCAGCAACACCACGGGAAAATGCACTCTAGGTTGTGCTTTCTTAGTTCTCCCAGGTACTGTCCCCAACTTTTCAGTAGTTCTCCTGCAATTACTCTCTCCTTCATTCTCTCCACACCCTCTAGGCCTGCCCCACAGCTCCTCAGCATCCCTCATCCTCCAATCCCACCCCATCCATTCTTCTCCAGCCCGGGCCAGGCGGTTCCCAGTCCTCCAGTGTGGGGACCGCGACCCCGCTCCCATCACGCTGCCTTCGGTCCCGGGTTCTCCCTGACTCCGCCCCATCCCTGTAGGTCCTCTCCCTTCTCGCCCAGACCACCTGGCCCCGGAAGTCAGGAGGCGGGCTCTCATAGGTATTGCCTGTCACCAGCTCGTTATTGTGCTCGTATAGGGTGACTTGACCCCTAGGCGGCGGCGGAGGAAACAACCCCAAGGAGCACATCTTGCGGGTCCCGAGGACGTCCGGAATCAGCAAACTCGCGAATCCAGCTCCTCTGACTCTTAGTTCCCGGGCTAGATTCGGATGCGTACGGGTAGCCGCCTGGGACAAGCGGCGATGCAATGCTCAACGGAAGTGAAGGGAAGACTAGCAGAGAAGGATGCGTGCGCAGTCCCGGGACAGACTTCCGGAGCTTCCTCGCGCACCGCCTAGCGGCTGGAAGGGGAGCGGCGCGGACACGTCCGCAGGACCAACCCCTGGTTAAGAGTCGAAGTGGTTTTTTGGGGTTTTTTTTCCTGTGAGACTGATGTTTTTCTCAGTTCCGAATTCCCCAACATAGTCTCCCACTCTCTCAGCGCTCGGAAAGCCCAAAATAAAGCCATGTTCAGGGAGGTACCTAACCCCTCCCAGGACTGTGGATCGCCTCGAGAGAAATAGAGACTGTGTCACCAGCAACTGGCTGGAAAGCCTCCTGGAGGAGGAAAAGTCCGAAGAGATCTTGGGAACGAGAGCGCTGCGCCTGCCCGAACCTAGGGCCCACTAGGCGTCATGGAAGGAAAAGTGGGAACAGTTGGAAAACTAACATTTCCTGAGCACTTGTATAATCTTTATAACAACCTCCATAAGACAGGTACTGTTATAGCACCATGAGGAGAGGGAAGCACAGAGAAATTTCACCTCAAAATACCAAAACCGGGCATTCTGACCTAAAAATAAAAGTGAAATTGATTTTATTCTAACTCCCAGGGATGGGACTGGAACTGGAGTCTAATGCAGAATGGGTGCTCCTCTGCTTACACCAGCGTGACTGGAAAAATCGTTGAATTCTTTGAGCCTCCTCACTTGCAGAGTGTCCTAATTATGTCACGTGGTTGTTTCCCATTCAAAATAATGGAAAAGAACCCATTTTATAAATTGTAAAGTGCTAAACAGCAGAAATAATCATTAGCCATAACTGCCACAAGCTAGATGACTTTGGGCGTTGGTTTGTTCATTTACCATGCCCTGGGCCAGTGAAATGCGTAAGGCATAGTCCCCACTCCCAAGAGCTGCTAGTCTCCTGGGAGAATCTAGGGGGCATTGTAATTTAGCATTCTTGGATTTTGTATCTGCCCCTCCTTTCTCTATGAAAAGTTCCCCCCAAGAGTTATTCCACGGTCAGAAGAGACTCCAGAATGTTAAGGGCAATAGGACTCACCTGAGTATCGCTGAAACACAGATTCTGGGTGGAGCTCTGAAGCTGAATTTCCAAAAAGTATGTGATACTGCATATAGACCACACTTTAAGTAGCCCTCCTTTAATTTGCTGTCACTTGGGAAGTCACAGGAGGCTTAAAGAGCATAATGTAAAAACCAATTTGGGGAAACTGGCTGGGAAAGCTCTCCTTTAGAATGGGAAGCAGGACAGGTTTGAAGGAAAAAGGGAGTCTGTGACTGATAGATTAGTGAAGAGCGCTGAGAACCCACCGACAAAGCTTTTGTTTGTACCTCAAGTCATGACACCATCCAACTCCAGACACCTCCAAGAAATCACTAAGGCTGGGTTTGCCACTTCCACCTCCATTTGATGAAGCCTGATTATCACCAACAGGTTGTGCTATAATTATTGTGCGGGTGCCTGCCTCTTACTCTGTAATGTGAACTGCAGAGGAGGAACAGTGCTATGTGTATTCACAGTCTACCACCGCCTCCCCCGTACTGCTTATTTAACGTTCGCTGAATGGTTTTCACAATTTGCAGAGTATGGGGAGGCTGAAGTCCAGGCCTAGCGAACTCTACTAACTTCACCAGGGGGCGCGACGGCTCCGGCGACACAGCGATCGTGACCTATCCGCCTACGGGCTCGGTGCTCTTAGCGGGCGGTCTTCACCGGCTCCTCATGACCTGGGCGGGAAACCGAGGCAGCGCCCGGGCCGCTGCCCGAGACTTCTAACATGGGCCACCTACTTTGGGAGGTGGGAGCCATCGCCGGAACTTGGGTGCCTGGAGCTCAGCCCGCCGCCCCTTACCGGGCTCCCTGGCCCGGGACGGTAACTAGGCGGCAGAGGACGGTAACCAGGCGCACATGGCCCGCCCGGCCTTGTTTGTCCTGGCGGCGCGCCGCCGCTATTTGAGGCGGTTTTTATCTCCCAGAAACCAGCAAAACCCCAAGCGGAGTCTAGAGAAGATGAAAGGATCCGAGGGGCCGGGGAGGGGAGGACCGCGGGGCTGCGGCGGGAGGGAGCTGGCACCGGACAGGCGGAGACCGGGAGGCTAGAGGGCCAGACCCTGGGGGGTCCGAGGAGCCCGTCGAGGGGGCGGGAGGCGGGGGTCCACTCGGGGCCGCCTCTTCTCGCAGGCCAGCTCCCAGGAGTCCCCCGCCCTCAGCCTCCCCAACCCCGTTTCCCAAGTCCGCCTCCTGCCACTGCCCTTAACCCACTGGAGATGTCCTCGGAATGCGGATTTCTTCAAAGCTCCTTTGAAGCCGCGCCCAACCGGAGGGCAGGAGATTTCGCACCTGGCCGGGGGCGGGAGGGCGGCAGAGTGGGGAGGGGGCTAACGCCCCGAGTCCGCTCGGCTCGCCGCCACGGACTCGCCGCCCCCTTTCCCCAGTTCTGGCGCCGCAGAGCCGTTCCCGAGCCCGCGAGGGGGACCGTGGGCCGAGATGCCGCCGGCAGTTGGGTCCAGGCCGGGGGGCGCGGCTGGTGCGCCCCCTCAGCCCAGCGGGGGAGCCTTAGGGGGAGGGGGCCGCACAAAGCCCTATTGTGGCTAGGGGATGGCCGCCACAGAGTGGCTTTTGTTCCTCCGCTAACTCCGTGGCGGGCACGACTGATTGCAGGCCCGGGCAGGGGGCGGGTTACGTGCCAGGCTGGGGCTGCCCGCCGGGAGCCGCCCCTCGCCCGGGCTAGGGCCGCGGAGTAGTTCGCGCTGCGCCTGCGGGGCCAACGCTCCTCCCTGGTCAGCCAGGGTCCGTTGGTGCGGAATCCGAGAAAGCCAGGGAAGAAACCTCTCTGTCTTCCCAACTCTGCAGAGAGCTCTACGCAGTCAAAAACCGAACTCCTCTGGAGGGCCTGGCCGAGGAAGTATTCTACCGCGCACATAATGTGCAAACGGGCACTATAGAATGCCCATGGGGAGTCCCCAGTTTGCCAAGGGAAAATCCTGTGGCTCACCCTTCTCCCTTCCTCTTCCCATTTTCTCACCAGGACAAACTTTAAAATCGAACTTTTATTTATTAAATTAAAAAAAAAAAAGACTCCATGAGGACATGATTCCTTCCCTTCCATAATATTACCCTCTCCCCAAGCCCCAGCGGCTTTAACCCTTTTACTCGGGGCCTTGAGGGAGCAGGAGACAGAAAAGGAGGATCCAAAGTCACAGGAAAGGCATTCAAAGGCACGAAGCGGCTTTAAAAGTCACTGGAGGTGGAGTTGGGAGTATCGGAAGTCTCAGGTTGGGGGCCTGTGTGTGCACCCAAGTCAGCTTGGGGACCTCTGTGCTCTATAAATTCTTTCTCATGGCTTATAGGCACCAGCCTTGCACAGTGCCTTGCACAGAGTAGGCACTCAATAAATACTTGATTTATTTGAATCTGATCCCAGAGAAAGCCTTCCCCACCTATTTTTCAGGAGAGGCACCTCCAAACCATTGTCCTCCTTCTGTTAGGTGGGCTTCCCCAAAACGCCTAATATGGCAAGCTCTCCATAACCATGGCAACAAGGGATTAGCCTGATAGGGTCATGGTGTCAGGAAGGGGCAGTGGAAGAACCTGTTCTGTGGTCGAGGGGGCTGGGGTACATTCCAGTCCTCCCCTCCACAGGACTTGAGGTTTCACAGCTTCTGGCTGGGGGTGGGAATATTAGGGACCCCCTAACTGAGAGAGACCCCATCAACTCTTTTACAGAGATCTAGCTAATCAACCCTGTTAGCAGAGATTCCATTACAAGAGATACCCCGTTAACTGAGACCCTGATGATAGAAATTCTGTTAACAAGATCTCCAGTAAAACTTTTTCTGGATACAGAAATGCACTTGTCTAAAATTTCCATAGCAGAAATGGACCTCATTCCCTCCCCAACTCACTCTACCTGACCTGTCATCATAACTTAGATAAATAGAATTATTATTATTACTATTCATTTCTCTTGGAACATAGGGGTTAAATATACAAGCCTGGGGGCAGCCTCCCTGACCCTGGGGGTCACCCCATCTTTGGGATCAGATCCCCACTGGTCTGCCCCCCTTTTGGCACCCTGCTCCCTGCCAGGTCACTAACCCCAATCCCCCTAAATACGATCCCTAATGAAGAGGCCACCAGGGGGCAATAAATTATCATCATCATCATCATCATCATCATCATCATTGTGTTTGTAAAAAGTATGCTCTGAGTCATGGAAAGCAGTGGAATAAAAAGTTGGTAAGACTGAAGCCTGGAAGCTAAGGGATAGTGGTAAATAAGCTTTGGAAGCAGTAAAGATGCATGTCAAAGACTTAGTGAGATGGAGAAATAAAACGTTGGGAGCCCAAATGGAAAAAAAGTGGATTGGGGTGGTAAAAGCAGAGGAGAGAGAAGCTGTGAGCAGGGCCAAGGAAGAGTTTAGGAAACCAGAGTGCAGAAATCAAGTACAACGTGAGGGCCTAAGATGAGAGTTTGCGGAATGGGCTAATGGCAAGGGGAAATGGTGAGCTTGAGGAGGCATGCAGGAAGACACCCAGGCCCAGAATGGCCAGGGGAGAGAGATGAATGAGCTCCCCAAAGGGCAACATGCATGGGGCAAAGGGAGTGAGGGGCAAGCAGTGGTCCACGGAGCCAGGAGAGGCTGGCAAGCACCCTCAACCCAGCTCAGATCTCCAGCAGGTTGCTCTGCTCCGGGCTGCCTTCAGGAGCTTTCTCTGGGGGTGCTGGAGAGGCTGAAGGTCGGGGCGTCTGACTGGCCTCCTCTTCCCCAGTGCTGCGACCCTCCCCCAGCTCTTTGGGGCCACTGGGTGGAGGGCCTGGGCCTGGCTCGCCATGGGTGCGTTGGTGTTTGCTCAGGTGGTCGCTCCTGGTAAAGCGCTTGGAGCAGAGCAGGCAGGTGAACTTTTTCTCTCGGGTGTGAGTGCGCACGTGGCGTTCCAACTCGTCCGAACGGGTGAACCTCTTGCCGCAGAAGAGCCAGTTGCAGACGAAGGGCCTCTCTCCCGTGTGCCAGCGCAAGTGGGCCTTCAGGTGTGAGGCCTTGCCATACACCTTGCCGCAGCCAGGGATATGGCAGCTGTGGATGGGCTTCTTCCGCAGCCCAGCTGCTGCTGCCCCCAGGCGCTCTAGCTCCTGGCAGTTGGGGCAGTCACAGGAGGAGCGCCCTGCTCCACTGCCCCCATATCCACCACTGCCCCCTGTGCCTGCTCCCCGAGGGGGTTTGGCTCCACCACTCCCCTCCAGCTGCCCACTATTGCCCACTGCTTTGGGTTTATAGACATCTTGGGGTAAGACATGCTGGGGCCCTGGTTGCAGGAGGTGGGGAGCTGGGTAGGGGGCTGGATTAAGGGGGGCAAAGTCAGATGGGTAGGTGGGTAGCTGGGCGTTCAATGGAGGCTGAGCAGGACCTGTGGGCAGTGTCCCTTGCAGCCCATCACCCTGGCCCTGCCCACCACCTAGCCAGTTGCCCCCAGGGTGCATGTCCCACCAAGGTGTAGGAGCATTGCCTGGGCCTGGTGAGATGCCTGCATGGATGCCTGCCTTGTACCAGGAGCCGTAGGGGTGTGCCATGTCCAGAGAAGTGTAGACACTGGGCAGGCAGTCAGAAGAGCTGTGCCCCTTGGGCACTAGTAGCCCAGGGTCCTGGGTGCCCGTGGGCCCAGGGAATGAGTGAGAAAAGGGAGGGTAGTCATTGGCATAGCCCGAGGTGGGTGCTGGAGGACTGCCTGCAGGTGAGAGGAGCCCATTGGTGCTTGAAAAGGGGGCTGGGTAAGCATCCCCCATGGTTTTGGGGGCTGAAAGATCACTGCCCACAGAGTATGGCTTCTTTGTGCCTGCTTTGCCCAGTGTCGTTGAGTCCCGCAGAGGGCTGGAGCCACCAAATTTGCTGCACGCTGCTGTCAGCATGGCCAGGGGACTGGAGCCATAGTGAGCTTCCTCCTGGGGAGAGAGGGAACATTGCTTAGGGGAGAGGAGGAGAATGCAGAGGGAAGGGCAAACTCTTGGGCTCCGACCTAGAGACACGGAGAAGAGAACAGAGGGGTCAGGGAAGAATTGAAGAGAATGGGGAATTAGAGGTAAGAGGGGGGCCAGTGAGGACTGGGTCCCAGGGCAAAGCTCAGATGGCATTGTGAAAGGAAAGCAGAGGCCGAAGACTGCAGCCTAATACCCCAACCCAGGAGGCAGGAAGTAGCTCACTGTGGAGTAGCTGGGGTGTGCAAGGGCCTCCAAGGAACAGGAGACACCTCTTAAATAGCTGTGAGAAGAGCTGGGGATAGAATCAGCACCTGGATGAGGTAAGAATTAGGAATGCTGACTCCCTGGAGTGGGTTCAGAGCAGAGGCCCTGGTGAGGGATTTGGAGAGGCAAGAAGAGGCTCAAAGGGCAGCATGGGAAGGGGAAATATTAGGGGACTGTAGTTGCCCTCATTCCAGATTTTCCCAGCGTTACCCCATATTCCACTTCCTGTCTCCACTTCATCTCCTGGCTAAGGCAGTGGCCTGGTCTCCCTGAGGCCTCGTCCTCATGTCCCTGGTAAAGAATCTCTTGGCAGGGACTCTGGGGCTGAGGAGCAAGAGGAAGCGACGGTGGAGACACTGGGACATTGAGAGGGAACAGGGCTGTAGCCAAGCCAGGGCTGTGGCTGAGGCAAGAATGTCTTTCAAGCGGGCAGTAGGCACCTCCTGCTTTGTGGAGCCAGCTGGTACCCCTTTTGGAGGGCTGGAAGAACCTGAAGTCCTCACGCCCCTCCAGGGCAGGGAGTTTGGGTAACTAAGACACTGAAGACTGCACCCCTCCGTGCCTCAGTATCCCCTAACACGTAGCCCACATAGCTGGTCTCTCTTCACCATTCCAACACAGCAAGTGAAGGAAGATATGTGGATGCGGAGCATGGGGGTCTTCTAGAAACACAGAATGCCCTTAGTGCCCAGCCTGCTGCTACTACTAGGCCAGAACCCCTGAGATCACCATCACTCAGGAGCTCCTGGTGCCCCTCCCTGAGTCAGCCTAGGTACATCCTAGGAGGAGATGCCCTCCAGAATCCCTTGCAGGCATAGACATGTGTCCATTACTAATAATCTTACCAAAAAAGGTGTCCTCAAAAGCTAACCCTGGACAGTTCCCTGACTGGGGTCCTCAAAAGCCTATATACCTGGTGCCTCCCTGGTAACGCTGAAAAGAACCCAAAAATTCAGGGTTCCCAGACTTGTCTGCTAGCTCCTAGCACATGGGTGTGACAATAATCCTCAAAGTAGGTCTGCAGGGAGGAGGGTGTGCAGTCACCACTCCTGCACGGCTCCCCAGGAGCAAACCTGCTGTGCTCCCCCACCCCCTACCCCCACCCCCACGCCCTGGCCCAATTACCTCTCTCTGAGGTTCTCGTAACCCCATGGACATGGACACCCAAATCTGAGCCACCAAAAGCTTTCTCAAATCTGGCCATGGTAAAAGCCCTGGTCCTTCCCATCCAGGGTCCCCTTGAAGCCTTTTATCCCCCAAACAGAGGGTGGGTTGAGCAGCACAGCTGCTGGGGCAGGAGCCCAATCCCAGCAGAAAGGAGAGGTAGAAACATGGAGTATAAAGGGGAGAGGCAGAGACACGGGAGCAAAGCATCCAGCACAAAGTCAAGAGCTGACGAAAAAGCCCCCAAGGGTGAGGGAAGGGGAACAGAGGGGAAAACTGGCATTAGGGGGGAGAAATGGGTAGGGACCTAAAAGAGCAGAAAGATAAAAACACAAAAGGGAGCGAATGAGAGGAAAGCAGTATAAACAAAGAGAGGTGATGGAAAGAGACCCGGCTAGGAAGGCAAAGGAAAACAGAGAGGAAAGGAAAGGAAGAAGAGAAAAGGGTGGGGGGAGGAGAAGGAGGAGGAGGAGGAAGAAGAAGACAGATTTCCTACCTAAGAAAACCACCATAGGACTGGGCCCCAGAAAACCCCCAGACCAGGCCACTCCTCCAGCCTTCTCCCCCTGACCGCCCCCTCCCCCTCTGCCCAGCCCTGCCCGGCTCCGTTGGTTTCCCTGCGGTCGGTTTATTTTTAAAAACGCCGACGCCGTCCCCCCCGCCCGGCCCTCACACTGTGGCCACAGGGGCCTCAGCCAAGCCTAGGGACCCCACCCAGCTGTGGGGAGGGAAGGAGGGGTGAAAGAAGGCAAGCAGCCCTAGGCCAACAGGAGACCCCAGCCCTGGGGAGCGGAGGCCCTCAGGGCCCCTGAGAGCAGAAAAAGGGAGCAAAGCACCAGGCCCACTCAGGCTGTTCTAGAGGCCAAGAGAGCTGGGCCCCTGGCTAAGTTTCATCACAGCCTCAGTTTCCTTCTCTTGCTGCTTGTGCTCCCCTGAGAACTAGGAAGGGGGTCCTGATGAAGTGTTCTAAATATGAGCTCCCATACCTAATTAAATGCATTACCTTTCTGGGGACCCAGGAGTCCCACCTTCCAGCTGTTTTTCCTCCTACCTCCACCCACCATCCGCTAAAAACAACAAAAAGGCAGGCTTGAAGTGTCAAAGGGGAAGCCTCTGGAGAAGGAACAACAGGAGGAGCTGTCCCAGCTCTCTCACCCAGATGTGCCGCCAGGAAAGGGAGCCCCTCTTTCCAGGTTGCTCACAGTGCCCAGCTGACCTCCCACTGGAATGCTCACTGTACACCTGAGGGCTAACTCACCATCAGGTCTGAGTACCCAAGATCCCAGTTCCCAGTTCTCCACTTCTTCAGCCTCCTCCCAAGTTGTTTACTTCTCCGAATTTCTAATTCTCCATCACCACCTAGCCCCCATCCCCATTTCTCCCTCCTCCCTAGTCCCCTGCATTTCACTCAGCCCAGGTGAGCCTCCCATCAAGCAGCAGCTGCTGCCCTCTCTTGAACTCCAAGTTCCTCCCACTGCCAACGAGCCCACCCATATCAGGCAGAGGGCGTCCTGGTGGTGGTGGCTGGGAGAGGGAAGGTTAAGGGCCCAGGTGCCCCCAAATTGGTGAAAGAGACAGAGGAACTGGAATGCCTTTTGTGTTGGGGCATCTCTAGCTCACAGGGAATGAGGGACATGAAGGCCTAGTTTCCACGACACACTCCTCTTGCCAAGTGCTATCCCAGTCCTGTGTCTTTCCAGCAGGCCTTTGGGCCAGCCCTCCCCCTAGGCACCAGTGCCACGCTGGCAACTTTGGCATGATGCCCACGCCCACTGACACTGCCCCTGCCTTGGGTGGACCCAGGATTTCCATGCACCTTAGTCCTCTAGCTTCCTCAAGACCAAACACAGTGTTTCAATGATGGCTCAATATAGAGTCTAGTGGGGAGATGGCAGGGTGAGCATTCTGCCATCATTGTAGCAGGGGAAGAGCCCAACACCTGGGGACCCCTGACTGGGTACAGAGCAGTGACAAGGGATGTGGTGTCCATCCCATTGGCTTGCATGTCATTTGCTCAAACTCAGTCACAAATTCAATATCTCCCAGCCTGGCACACATACACCAATCCTCACTTGGACTAACAGACACTCAGATGTCCCAGCTTGTACACACACATATACCTGCGCTCTCACAAAGCCAGCCATGCATGCAGTCGCTGGCTTACATTCTAACACTTACGCTCAGGCCAATGAACACAGGCATTAAGATCCCGCTCCGTCTCACACACACCTCTCCTACAGGCTGAGTGTGTCAGCTTCCTGTTTGGCCCATCACCCCTGGGACTGAGCTAAGGCACTGGGAACAGAGACGGGGGGCTTCTGAGGGGCCCAAGAATATGGAAGGTTCAAGGCTACTGAAGGGGGTTGACTTTAAGGGAGGGCTTTCTGGCCCCAAATTCCTATGGGGGGACCTAGAAAGCGTGACAGAGATGGTGACACAGATACAGAGTCAGAGACCCAGAAGCAGGGAGAACTCAGAATGTGCAAACAGGCTCTGAGTGGCTGTGAGTCCCTCTTCCAACTATGTGCCATGAGTCCCCCAGAAACCCTGGTAGTCAGTGATTTCTCAAGACCCCAAATGCTGACCCCATGGTACTCTGGTTCCCTCCATCCCCAGTGCCAGAGGCAAGGGATGCTGGGGTCCGAGCCTGGAGGGGAAGTGGCCTAGTCCGCCCTGGAGCCTCCCACTCCCAAAATAGAGCTGAGTTTGTCTTTGGCTGAAAGCTAAATATTTGTGAGCCGGGCAGGCGGCCTCAGACCCTGGCCCTCCTCCTTGGTTCCCTCTCAGGCCTGGGCCCAGTTCCTCTGGTCAACCCCCCCCCCACATACGCACAGGACTGCCCTTCTCCCTTCTCGCATAGCCCACCTTCTCTCCTACACACACCAGCCTACAGGCCCAGCCCCCTCACCACCTACAAAACAGACTAGATATGGCTCAGGCTAAGAGTTCCAAGAGACAGGACTCCCAAGGAACTGTACCCAATTGCCACTTTGTGCCCACTCAGATAGTCCTGTCACCTTCTCTCTCTTTTGTGTGCGACCAGCTTACTTATCTCCCACCCTCCTTTCTCCACTGCCCCCTGCACTTGCTCCTTTCTCTACCCCTTTTCCATTCCTCAGAGTTGGTGTGCTTGGCTGACCTTAGGGGTCCTGCCTTCGTCTCACCTAATCCCCTCTCCTATTCCTTAGACTGCTCTGTGACCCCTGGTCCTGTTATCTGCTCTTCCTTTCTCCTGCCCTGTGCTCCGCTCCTTCTCTGACCCTGCTCCTCTCTCTTCATCTGGGGGGGTCCCCTGAAAGTGACAAGCACCACAGCAACTGTCTGTGTGAGTTGGAAGATGCGGGGCAGGCAGGGATTAGGACCATTAAGATTGTGGCTAGTGTCCTGGGGGGGGGGCAGTTACCTCAAGCAGGGAGGACGCCATCCTGAGGCTGGGGACCGGGTCCCAAGGAGCCAGGCAGATGGAGAGAGCCGAGCCGTAGAGAGAGGGAGAGGGAGAGGGAGGGAAAATGGGAGAATGGGAGAGAAGAGATCTAAAGTTAGAAGGGACTGGGGGGTGGGGGGTGGGGGGGCTGCTCTCTGTCTGTAGGGATCCACCCTCTAATTACAGCTTTCCCAGCGGAGAAGGCTCCGGATCCAATGAGCAGGGCGAGAGAGGGAGGCAGAGGGTCCAAATTTCCTGCTCTATTTGCTGAGCTCCCCGAAGAAGGGATCTGGGCGGGAGAAGAGAAACAGGGCTCCCAGGGAAGGGGTGAAAGGAGAAGGAGGGTAAGGACATGGGCAAGTTGTCAGGACATCCTGGGGGGAGCTGAGGGGAAGATTTGAAGGGTAGGTGGGCCCAGGTGTCCCACACCCCGCCCCCAGCAATCCCATGGGCATCTGTGAGAACCCCTCCCAGAGCTCCCCAGTGTCAGATACCTGGGGGATCTGGGGCTGAGTGTCCTGGGTCTCTCCTCTCTGGAGGTCTGGCAGTGGGAGCGCAGGAAGGAGGTGGCCTGAGGGTCCTGGGAGGGCTCGGCTCCTCTCCTAGGCCAGCTCCACGCCTGTTCCCACTCGGGCTCCGATCCTACAATCCTACTGACTCCAGAGTCCTGGCTTCTGCTCGGCTGCTGCTGCTTCTGCTGCTGCAGCTCCTGCTGCTGCTGAGGCTGCCGCCGCTGCTGCCGCTGAGGGAAGGAACAGGAGGGAAAAGGAACAAACCCCAAACCACTAATTAGAGATCCAGGGGGGGGATGGGGGATTGGGGACGACACTCACACAGAGAGACTGGAACACACTGACATACACACTCATGGACAAACACAGATGATACATGCACATGAACACACACACAGTGCTATGGACACAGCCACTGTCATGAATGAATGCAGACAAACTCACACACAAATGAGTTCAGTGACATGGCTGGAGGCACACACACCACATATACACCGAGTTGACCACAGAGATGCTTGCTTCTCCAGTCACCCACCTCACGATCAAGAGAGCAGTGTGTATGTGCGTGTGTGTGCACGTATACATGTGTGTCATGAAATATAAGGGGAAGAGGGTTTTCTGGGGTGAAGGCTTCTGCTGCCCCAGCTTTTAGGGTCATTGAGGTAGGTTCCAGAGCAAGGCCTGAAGGAAGGAACGGAGAATGAGGGAGGGCTTGGCACAGGTTGGGGGTTCCCCAGTCTTCCTCCCAAGGCCTCAGTTTCACTCCTAGGAAGTGGCACCTGGGCCTACTTCACTCTGTAGCGCACAACCTGGATTTTCTGACTCTAAGAAAATTTAAGGCAAGTCATTGGGTCAATTCATCCATGTCCAAGCCTAACCCCTTCAGATTAAGCCCCGCAAAAAGATATGCTCTAACCTTCCTTATTCCTTGCCAGTTACCCTCCCCAGACCCCTCTTGGCCACACATCAAATCTCCACCCTTTGATAGATAGTTCTCATGAGCGATGGTGTTTTCCTGGGAAGGGGCTCCTGGTTCCCTTTCTCATTGCCAAGCATCAATTCCCTCTGCAGCAGGAAGAACTGAAGTTAGAGCTTAAGCAGGACTTCCCAACTTGGACTTCTCATCAAAATGGTGAAGAAGAGAAGGAAGGTCAACTAGGTTGGGAGAGGGAAACCAAAAAGCCTGTTAACTGAAACCTGGGTCCTAAGGTAAATTTGTGGGAGAGAAAGGACTGGGCAGCTAAGTGGTAGAACCAGCATCTCTCCCTCAGAGGGGCCCAGCTAGCTGGGGTTGTTTTACAAGTTATTCCTCAACACACCCTTCTCCCCCCTTCCAGCCCTGCCCACTAAAGGAATGGAGCCCTTTCCTTCCCTTCCGACTCCCCCAACTCCCAGCACAGCCCCCTCACTTTCTCTTCCTGAGTGCCTACTTCCTTGCTCTTTTTGCTCTCCCAGTTCTCCAAGGAAAAGGTGGGGAGGGGTAAGGAGCTGATGGCAGTCCAGGAAGGGTTAATGCAACTTAACCAGAGCAGGCAGGCTCCAAATCCAGGGTGGGACCCAGGATTTCTGGGTTCCAGCCCCAAGGTTTGGTTTCCCCCATGGAACCCCGTGGGTCCAATTTGGGGGGAGGGGGTTAGGGAACCAGGATGACTGGCCGACAAAGGAAAAGAAGCAAAAGAAGAAACACAGAAAGGCCAGAAAGACCTAGAGACACACAGAGCAAATGAAACAATCCGAGAGAATAAAAGGCGCTATGGGATATAGCAGAGCTAGAGAAAAAAGGAAAACAGAAGACCAGGTACATGGCTTTAAAAAACCAGAGAGCAGAAAAATCTAAAAAGGAAAAGAAACCGGTCCAGAGGAACAAAGATGAGGAGACAATGGCTTCGAGAAAGGACAGCACAGGGAAAATAGCTGGAGGCCTGGTCAGGTCGGGAGGAGGCAGAGGGTTAAAGCGGCCAGGCAGGTGGGGGGGCGGGGATGGAGTATAAATAGCGCATAATTGTGTCCGATGATTACACGGGCCACCCCACCCGTCTGCCCAAGAGGAAGTGCCCGTGGTGGGGTGTCCCGTGACCTCGCAGTCTCCCCCTGGTGGGGGGGCGTCTGAGCCTGAGGTGCCAGATGGATTTCTGGCCCCCCCCCCCACAACTCCCACCTCAGAAGTTGGGAAGAGGATGGGGAAGCTTTGGAGAAATTACTGTGCCAGCAGAAAAGCCCAAGGCTAGTTAGGTCAGGCAGGCAACTGAGGAAGAGGAGAAAAGTCTAGACTCCAAAGAAGAAATGACGGGTGAGAGAGGTGTTAGGGATCAAACTAGATTGGGGAGGAAAGGAAGAGATTGAAGGGTATAAAGAGGAATGACCAAAGGATGAAAAGAGATGCAAGGTTGGGCAGAGGAGAGAGATGGATGGCAAGGAGGGTTAACCTTCTTCACTTCCTTTGGGGGCCTTAAACCCTAATCCTATCTGGGAAGGGGTAGGAGTGCTAAGGAAAGAAAAGAAAGGAGCAGTGTCCCCAGGAAGATGTGAGCCAGGGCCCCTGATGTGTCAACCCCAAAAGGACAGTGTCTGGACACAGAGTCCCCTCCCAAAGGTCTGTCCAAAGCCAGGCAGAGGGGCTGCCTAAAGCCCCCAGCTGCCTCCCTCAGGACCCTGGTTCTGACTCCTTCCACACCCTTTTTAAAGATAGTCCTGCAGCCCAGCAGAGGCTCTAGTATTCCTGGGTCTAGACCCCCCAAATCCTTCCCAGTGCCCCCAAGGGCTGGGAGCAGCAACTGGGAGCCCTGACCAAGGACCTACCTCCACCCTCCCAGGCCTCCCTCAGCCCAGCCTCCCAGGGGGTGGGGCAGCCCAGGCAGAGGCGCCATGTGGCAGGGGCGGGTAGAGGCTGCGGCTCTGGTCCTTCCAGTATAAACCCCCTAGGCATCTGGTTTCTATCCACCACCCCACCACCCTGGGGGCCCCTCAGCCTCCGCCCATGGCCACCCAGACGCTGAGCTCCCAGAGATGGACGCCCCTGAAGGAAGGGGTGGGACGATGCCTTTCTGATCTCTCAACCCCAGGACTGGGCTGAACCACAGGGACCGCTCCCTTCCCTCCCTTCCCCAGAAGAATCAGGGAGGGATTTCTAGGTTAGAGGGGGTCGAATATGGAACCTGCCTCGGTTGTCTTTAGATCTTTTTGGAATGACCAGTGGGAATGGAGAGTGAAAATTGGGGTGAGTGGGATACTTCTAACCCCCTACTCCTCAGGGAAGCTGCCTCCTTCCATACCAATGCCTTCTGCCCACCTCCCAGGCTGGTTTCCTCGGAAAGCCCTAATCCAAAGGGACTCCTAGTCCTTCCTTTGTTGTTATTATAGATGGTTTGGCTCCCCTAGAGAGAACTGTGAACAGTGAACAGAGCCGCTGAAATAAAGATTGACACATACTCTAATACAGATCTAATGAGTGACACACTTTCAGATTCACACTTGCACTCATGCTGAATGCTAAACATACATATACTCTGCAGGCACCCACATTGATACACACTGATATATATACATACACTACATAGATGATGCTTACACCAAGACACTTAATCTAACCCCCAATCACAAGAACGCACATACCAGAGTACATACATGCAAAGAGACTCACAGCCACCTAGAATACCCCACACAGGGACTTATATAGACTCACATCATACACACAGTTACAATATGGCAAATGTCCCATACATACACACAGGCTTATCATCACAGATGATAGGATCTAAAGACCCCTGCACTCTCCTAAAGGAGGTTTAAGAACCCTTCTTCCCACAAGAATCTGGGGTTAAGGGTGATGTGGAGGGCATTTCCAGACCTACAAATTGCAGCTTGCAACTCCTTCTAGTGTAGGAGCCTCCAGTGTACCTTTAGGGGACTCACTAAATATCCACCGGAGTTCAGAGACCCAGATGGCCCTAGAGAACTCCCTGGCCCTGGGGAACCCCCGACATCCCCACCCCCACCCAGACCCCCCCTGCTCTGCGGCCCTGCTGACTCATCTCTCCCTCTGTGGAGCTCCCCAACCACAGGGGCCTGGAAGAGAAACTTGGAAAGTTGCGCTCATGTCCCAGGCCCCTGGTCTGGCCACTACCCACCCCCCCATACACCCAGGCCCAACCCTTGTCTCCAGTGGAGACACTGGTGACATAGAACACAGGGGGGACAGGAAAGAAGGCATCCAAAGACAGGGAAACTGAAAGACAAAGGGAGAGACCTAAGGGAAAACAGAGATGGTGGGAATACAGATAAGAGATCCTGAGGGACAGCTGCTAATCTGATAGGGTCCTCCAAAAGCCATGGGGCTGGGGAGCAGGGAAACTCACTCCTTGGGTTGGGGAAGATCCACTCACGGCTTTGGGATGTGTACACTGCCCAGTGCCTTGACCTAGCATTCTGAGCCTAGGCTCAAGGAGCTTGGGGAAAGAGACCCAATTCTGGGAGGCAAAGCTGAGGACACAGGGCAGAAGGGAAGCTTTTAAGAGGCCAGCAACCTCTGTGTAGGACAGCTTGGAAAAAACACTCTCCACCCCACATACTCTACACATTTACACATATATGCACACATCAACTCTCTCCCTCTCTGCTAGGTCTCCCTGTCCCCTCTTCCAGGACCAGGGCTACGGGGCAGGAATCCTGGTGCTCGCCCTGGCTCCCCTCTGCTCTGAGCCTCCATTTTCTTAGTTGACATTTGAGCCCTGAGATAATATAGCAGTTCCAGAGGAGGCAGATCAGGATCAGAAAGAGAAGTGCTATGGGAGAGGGAACAAAGAGCAAGCGGGGCTGGCCGAGTGGCTCAGTTGGTTAACAGCATGAGCTCTGAGCAACAGGGTCACCGGTTCGATTCCCACATGGGCCAATGAGCTGTGCCCCAGCTGAGCTGCCACTGAACTGCCAACAGGTGGCAGGATGGCTCAGCTGATGAGAGCACGTACGCCTAACAACAATGTTGCTGGTTGGACTCCTGAATGGGATGGTGGGCTATGCCCACCCACAACTAAGATTGAACACAGCACTTTGAGCTGAGCGGCCACAGCTGCCGACGGGCGGACAGATGGCTACTGGACTTGGAGCT